AAAAGAGATCAAGCTACTAGGTTCTCGCCCGCTCGCTGCTGAGTCTGAGTCATTGCCCTTAAGTGTTGTACAGACTACTGATCCTAGTTTAATTAAGTGTATTTCTGAGGCTCCTGATAATGTTGATGCATTGGAGGAAGGGACGGGTTTCTTCTTCAAGGATCGACTTCTGATGAGAAGGTGGAGACCCAAGGGCACTCCCTCTTCAGATGATTGTGAGATTAGAACCCAACTCGTTGTCCCCAATGAGTATCGTAGGCAGGTCCTGCAGGCTGCACATGACGACCCCATGGGAGGTCATCAAGGTATCACAAATATGTACCATAAGATATGTAAATATTTTTTCTGGCCTAAGTTAAAGAAAGACGTGGTCAGATATTGTCATAACTGTGTACCCTGTCAAATTGTTGGTAAACCAAATCAATCTGTACCTAGAGCACCATTGCAACCTATTGTAGTTCCTGATGAACCTTTTACTCATGTTGTAATTGATTGTGTAGGTCCTTTACCTAAGACTAAGTCGGGTAACATGTTTTTGTTCACTCTCATGTGTATGACTACAAGATTTCCTGAAGCTTATGCTCTAAGGAATACCAAGGCTCATAATCTCATCAAGTGTCTTGAAAGATTCTTTTCGTTGTTTGGAATGCCTAGAGTTATTCAGAGTGACAATGGGGGAAATTTTGTTTCTAAAGTTTTCAGAACTTTTTGCGAATCCCGAGGGATTCGGCACAAATTATCCAGTCCATATCATCCACAAAGCCAAGGTGGGCTTGAACGTTTCCACCAGACCTTAAAACAAATGTTGAGGACAACCGGAGAAACTCATCCACGTAATTGGGATGAGAATCTTCCCTTTGTGTTGTTTGCTGCTAGAGAAGGGCTACAAGAGTCATTGGGCTGTTCACCTTTTGAACTAGTGTTTGGTCACCAAGTAAGAGGTCCTCTAAAAATGCTACAAGAAAAGTTGTTGGGAGATGTCTCTGTTCATCAGAGTGGATTGTACTTGAGTGAGGTCAAGGACAAGTTGTGTCGGGCTCGTGAGTTGGCGAAAGAACATCTGGGAAGGACTCAACAAGCCATGAAAGTAAGATATGACAAGAAGTTCAAGGCTAAGCTCAGGTCGTTTGATGTCGGAGATTTGGTGTTGGTGTTGAAACCTCGTATGGGGACTTCCATGTCCCATAAGTTCGCAGGACCCTACCAAGTGGTGGAAAAGGTGGGAGACCTAACTTATAAACTAATTAACCCTAATCTTTCAGAACCCCAAATGACTGTGCACATTAACAGATTAAAAGCTTATGTTGGACCTGGTGTAGTAGGTTGTTTTAGTCGGGAAGAGTTACCACCTGAGGATAATTGTAGTGAGGGACATGATGTTAATATTCAACTTCTCAGTTCCAGTTCCAATGGCAGGGAGATGCTATGTCATTTACAGGAGGAGCAACGTGATGAGTTCCAGGTTCTGCTGGACAACCATACATCTCTGTTTGGGGAGGTTCCCACACAGACCCACCTCATCACACACGACATTCAGCTCCTGGACAGCACACCCATTCGACAACATCCGTACCGAGTGAATCCCGAAAAGAGGAAAATTATACAAGCAGAAGTGGAATATCTGCTCCAGCATGATTTCATTCGGCCAAGTCAAAGTACTTGGAGCTCTCCGTGTTTGTTAGTGCCAAAACCAGATGGAACCTGGAGATTGTGCGTGGATTACAGGAAACTGAACAAGCGCACTACTGTGGACGTTTTTCCTTTACCCTTGTTGGAGGAATGTATTGAGTCCATAGGACATGCCGAATATGTAAGTAAGCTTGATTTGTCAAAAGGGTACTACCAAATCCCATTAACAGAGTATGCTAGGGAGGTTACTGCTTTTGTTACACCTGATGGTGCGTATGAATTTAATGTCATGCCATTCGGTTTGAGAAATGCACCTGCTACTTTTCAAAGACTCATGAATTTCTTACTCAAGGATGTGCCAGATTGTAGGGCCTACCTTGATGACATTGTTTTGTACAGTAAGAATTGGGCAGATCATCTCTTAGGCCTTAAGAACTTGTTTACCGTGTTGCAAACCGCAAAGTTAACCATAAATATGAATAAGTGTAGTTGGGCAAGAGGTACAATAACTTATCTTGGACACGAGGTAGGGCAAGGTAAGATTATTCCCTTACAAGATAAGATTCAATCCATTGTGGACTACCCAGTGTTAACCAATAAGAAAGGAGTCCAACGGTTTATTGGTATGTGTGCATACTATAGGCGTTATTGTAGAAATTTTTCCACAGTGGCTGCTCCTTTGACAAATTTGTTACGCAAGCAAGTAAAGTTTCAGTGGACACAAGATTGTCAGAATGCTTTTCAGAACCTAAAGGGCATATTGTCCACATCACCTGTTCTTGCTAGTCCCCAATTTGATAAACCTTTCATATTACACATTGATGCGTCAGATGTTGGAATAGGTGCTGTGCTTATTCAAGTTGGTTTAGATAAGATTGAGCATCCTGTGTATTATTACTCTAGAAAATTTAATGCAGCTCAGAAGAATTATTCCGTGGTAGAAAAGGAGGCGTTGGGTCTTATATTGTCAATTAAGAAGTTTGAGATTTACTTGTCAGGAAACAAAGTGTTAGTATTTACAGACCACAACCCCCTTATCTTTATAAATATGATGAAAGTCAAGAACCAACGAATTCTGCGCTGGTCATTGTTTTTGCAGGAATTTAATGTAGAAATCAAACATATTCCAGGCAGGCAAAATGTTATTGCTGATGCTTTGTCAAGAAGTTTTGATGTACCATAAATGAAATGTTTCTTTTCACTTAACATTTTTACTTCGGAAAAAATGCCATTGATCTTCAAATCCATTGCATTTTTTTTCTTGGAGGTGGAAGTGTTACGTACCCCTATAAGATACGTAAGTAAATAAATTAATATGTACATTTATAATTGTGTGTAAATTACAAGTATGTATATTGATATACTTATATGTTCTATGCAAAAGTAATTTCATGTTACAGTGTTGGCGTTAGGCCCAACGTATCGTGGGAATGATTGTTTTATTTCTTTGTGTGCTCAGTTTTCCCACGGGAACTAATGATTTATATGTGATCATATGTGGGTAACAGAGGTGAATAATAATTGAGTGAACTGTATCTGGCAAATTGTCGTGGGATCGTCCGTTGCTGGGTGAGCATGCCATTATTCCCCTCTGTATGCGTATTTTAATTACTATGTAAAGAAATAATTACCTTATTTTTGTATATCAATATGTATTAATTATTCATTAAGTTAGTTTAAGATTACTCTTGTCACAATGTATTGCTCCATTGTTGAAATAATAAATATTGTAACTTTGGCAAATTGTTCGCGGGGCAAGGCAATGTTTTTGACTCCCGCGTTATTGTTATTCAGTAGCTGATCCGGAACCAGAGAGTTAGCATCTTGTGGAGTTAAGTTATACATTTTTGTTCTGTCATAGCCATACATATAATAATATTAATTTAATGTCTGGAAGATACAGTGATATTTTTAATGTGATATATTGTGACCAAATAATCATCTGTTTGCTATTGAGATTTATGTAATATATATCTATATAAGATTTTATATCTATTCTTTCAGTCCTAAAGGAAGATTTTTATTTACGTGCTCATTACTTATCAAGGGGTTATACTGGTGACCCGCTCTTGTGAACAGCAGTTTTCTCGTAACCCTAGACCTTGTTGTTAGCTGTTTCAGGGTCACGAGCCGTAACGTACGATAGGTAACAATCACCCTCTAAGACCGGGAAAACGTTGTGATCGCAATGCGTGCATTGTAAGTTGGGTCGGAAAACCCCCAAAAGGTACCTGGAACGTCGGAGGGAGAGACGCTGCGCACACCTCCAGCCACCACCATTGTCAGCCGCCCCCTCCCCTTATCCTGTACATCATGTAAGTAAGCATCGACAGTCTTGTTCGAACTCCCACAAGATTTTACCAGCCACGCTACAGGGCTGACACCCACTCCTGGCCTGATGCAAGCTTTCGGCTCTTACCCTCATTACTTCGAGCTTGCCACCCCAGCATCTCTCAAGCTCTCTTCTCTCGACTTCATTTAAACTTGCCTCTCCAGGCCTTGCACAATCTCTCTGCTTCCGACTACCTTCAGCACTGCATCCTACCTGACTTTGCCAACAGTACATAATTAACAAATAACCTCATATCAATCTATCATGGCACCGCCGTTTCATTTCTGACATCCAACTGCTGTAACCAAACTTTATTTAAAAAACATAAAAAAACTTCCATACTCTTTGAAAACTGTCACTCAAAGCTTTATATGATACATATTAAAAGAGATACACAATGATATTTTATTTGACACATGTAATGTGATTTTTTTATATGTATGCATATTTGTTTAATTTAAAAATAATGAATGTAATTCTCAAATCGTGCATTTCAGATTAGCTCCTAAAAAAATATTTTAAATTAGAGGGTCAGGTGGCAGGGAGGTTATCTTGAGATGATTTCGGGGTTTTAGTGTCCCCGCGGCCCGGTCTTCGACCAGGCCTCCACCCCCAGGAAGCAGCCCGTGACAGCTGACTAACACCCAGGTACCTATTTTACTGCTAGGTAACAGGGGCATAGGGTGAAAGAAACACTGCCCATTGTGTCTCGCCGGCGCCTGGGATCGAACCCAGGACCACAGGATCACAAGTCCAGTGTGCTGTCCGCTCGGCCGACCTCCCTCCCGGCCGACCGGGAGGGAGGGAGAGGGCCTCAGAATCAGGTCTGCGACAGGGGGTCTGGCTAGGTTAGTATTAACAGTGTACATAAAAAAATCCTATATTACAAAATCTTAGTTTACAAATGAAATTGTATATATATAATTGTTTTGTATATGACATTCGTCATTTGTATATTGTTGTCCCTTCACCATATTATTATATTAAAACAAGGGGAAATGTTTGCTAAATTCAAAGACTGACCAAGAGTTTACTTTACCAAACTGAGGAGAACGTGAGAGGCGGCAGCCTCCTTGCGCAGGGCAGCCAGGAGAGAAGATCTGGGTAGTAATGACATAGGTGCCGGGGTGTGGTAGAGGGAATATCTCTGTCCTCTGTGGTGAGTCCTCCTCCAGGAAGTCCACACTGTATTACAAAATGTTTACCATGTTAGCATGAATATCTGACTATGATTCGTTATCAGTACCACTAAATCAGATCATGATTTTATTCCTCCTGGCTCCCGGCTAAGACAAACAGTGGGTCCCATTAGTTGGGTTTGTTCTTGACTCCGGGTTTGTTTGTTTGTTCTTGTCCAGGGTTCGCATCGCGGGCGGAACAGAAATAGTTGGGTGCATTTCCTATCATCTAATGCACCTAGTCACCTAGCAGTAAATTACCCAGAAGTTAGTCAGCTTTTAGTTGGGTTGCATCCATGGGAGGGTCAGTAATTCGGTTTTGGGGGGAGGGAAAGAGACGCGTACTCACCTAGTTGTGCTTGTGAGGGTTGAGCTTAGGCTCTTTGGTCTCGCCTCTCAACCGTCATCAACTGGTGTACAGAACATACTGGACTCTATCAAATCTACATTTGAAACTGTGTATGGAGTCAACCTTCACCACATCACTGCTTGATGTATTCCATTTGTTAACTACTCTTACACTGAAAAATTTCTTTCTAATAGCTCTGTGGCTTATTCGGGTATTACGTTTCCACCTGTGTCCCCCTTGTTTATGTTCCACCCGTGCTAAATAGTTTGTCTTTGTCCACCTTGACAATTCCCCTGAGAATTTTGTAGATGGTTATCATGTCTCCCCTTACTCTTCTGTCTTCCAGGTGTGTAATTACCTAAGTAATTACCTAAGTGTAGTTTTAGGATGAGAGCTACACTCGTGGTGTCCCGTCTTCCCAGCACTCTTTGTCGTGTAACGCTTTGAAACTACTGACGGTTTTAGCTTCTACCACCTGCTCACCTAACTTGTTCCAACCGTCTACCACTCTGTTTACGAAAGTGAATTTTCTTACACACAGAAATCCCAATAGCGTGATGCATCAATGAACAAATCCACAAGGGCCGTGGCGAGGATTCGAACTTACGTCCTAGATGATCCCAGACGCTGCCTTAAACGACTGAGCTACGACATGGTCAAAAGAGTTGAAACCAAAGTTCTACTGAACTTACTGGATCCTGCAGCCTCTCTGAGACACAAACCAGGATTTTACACAACTCCCCTTGTGTAAAACCCTTGTTTGTGTCTGGAGGTTGTGTAAAACTCTAGTTCTGGCGTTTGGAGAACCAAACGCCAGGACCAGGGACCTCAGCAACTCTCGCCAGAGGATAGGTTGGCTTCGTAGCAGAAAGAATTAAGGTAGATAAATTCCCTCCCCCCCCCCATTACCCCTTGATCTAGGTGAGCTAGGATATCTTTCATATTGTGAACATTGTTTTTATTATTGGTACCAGTGTGGTAGAGAGTTAGGCTACGAGCCAAGTTACTCATGTAGGCATGAGTTGATGTATAAAAATAAATGTGGGTGCAGTGACTTTTGGGCAGCTGGAGGAAGTGGATGGGTTCAAGAGGCCAGGAGCGAGCTCTTGAATCGTCCAGCTGACAGTGTTGCCGCCGTCTGACAGTTCCACGTGTAGTAACCACTTTGCGGATCCAGTATAGTTTCCTTCGGTAAACTTATTGATTTTAACATTGTGTTTGAGTGAGCCTTCGTCTCTAGGGCTGTTTGAGTAAATCATTTATGTTACACTGCATTGCATCTGAGATTGCATCCTTGGGCTGCGATAACGAGTAAGACCACTGAGAAGTGTTGCTGGGACACGAATATAAACACCCAGCTGGCGACCTTGGACGAAGAGGTAAGGATTTACCTGTATATCTTCCCAGTGTCACGGCGGGCAAATCCAACCGAGAGTGACAGAGGTAAGGCTGGATTTCCCTACTCGATAGGGTTGCAATTCAAGGCCAGCCCTTGGTAGACTGGGGTGGCCCCAGGGCGAGCAGTGGCGCCCAGGTACAAGGGGGGCGAAGACCCGCGGGAATAACCCTACCTACATAAGGAAGGAAAGGGAGGGCGAAACGGTGACATTACTAACCTGTACATCTTTTCTCAATCTTTGCCGACTTTGTTTACAATTATTAAACAGTTAATGAGCTCCGAAGCACAAGGAGGCTGTTTATAACAATAACAACAGTTGATTGGGAAGTTTTCATACTTTTAAACTGTTTAATAAATGTAACCAAAGCCGTCAAAGATTGATGAAAGATGAACACGTTCGTAAGTACTTGCGTAACTGCTTCTTGAATCTGGCTCCTGGACTGCCCATGGGGAATTTCCAATGTGCGATATGTGTTTCCACATCACCTCTGCAGTCAGAAAGTATTCAAGGAGAACATAGGATGGTAACCTTTCACCCGGGAACTGAAAATGTAAAATACACAATCTGGATGGCGTTGATATCGTTACATCTCTCCACCAGAGGTCTTCATCATCGACCTCACCTGCTAACTGAGGTACGAACAGGAGCCTGTCACAGATATCGCCACTCCTCACTCGGTTATTCAAAACGATGCATTGCGAATCATAACAGGAGCTCCCAGATGAACTAAAATACTGAACCTAAGACTAGAAACCAAGCTAACGTCGATTGAAGTAAGGGTAAAAGGGATTGCTGTGTGCATGCTGATCAAGATTTTGACTAGACCTAGAATCAGTTCACTTAAAGATATAATCACTAGAGCACAAACTCTGGACTGAAGAGCCTCCAATAGCAACAGGTGGACCCATTGTGCGATAAACATCATCAATACATTCGATATAACAAACACAATCACTGAGAAGGGTGTCGACGAAATACATGCAGACTTTGTTAGGCAAGCCCCTTGGGACTCTCTGCCAGCAGACTTTAAGATTATGGCTATTGAAGGAAAAAAGAACCAGACAAATCCTCATCTGCTACGTAACATTGTACAGATGCATATAGTAGCAAACATGGCATCCGACAGCTTCACATACTTCACAGATGGATCAGTAGACCAGCAGGGACAAGAAACCGGAGCTGCAGTTAAAGCAGGAAACTCTGTAAATAGTTGGAGGCTCTCAAATGGGTGTTCGACTTTACAGAGATGCTAGCCATTCAAAAGGCTTTGGAACATGCTCTTGCTGAACACCGACAACTTGTTATCATACATACCGATTGGAGAACCGCCATTGAAACCTTGCAACAAGAACACATATGTGATAACATAAATTTGATCACAAATGTCATATCATATATGCAAACACTCAAACGACAAGGCCGACGGGTACTTATCAACTGGGTGCCAAGTCATGTGGGAATAATAGGAAATGACATTGCAGACGAAGCTGCAAAACTTGCAACTAAGAGAAGAAATGTAGACATTTACATACCACAGAGTCTATCACAGATTAAGAAAGTAATTAGAAACAGAGCAATGCAAAAGATGTACAGTGACCACAACACAGCAGTTGCAACATCAGGATCTGCGGGTTGGTACAAGAATTCAACCAACTACGAACCCCTTAGTTTGATGAAAGGGAGCAGTAGAACAACAGAAGTACACTTACATCGCATCAGGCTTGGATACCCATGTGCATGGGAAATAGGCTTATAGGTTCCGGAAGATGAGAGGAAATGTCAGCACTGTGGAGAAATGCCCGACAGACCACTGGAACATTATCTAACACAGTGCACAGTTACAAACCCGTTAAGATTTCAACTTAGATTCAACAGACAGAAGAAGTTGTTAAGCACATATGGCAAAATCTTACTGAAGCGACCATACGAGTAATAAATACTCATACTCCGCCCAAGCAAAACAGAAACAAGCAACACTAAGTGGGCCAGCAAGAGGCTTAGGTCCCGTGCAGGAATATCCCTGCAAAAAAAAAATAAATAAATAAATAAACTCCTCACTCCACCAACGGTGATGATATCGTAACAAACCACCCCTAGATTTCTTTCTTTCTTTCTTTCTTCATAAGAATTTTTTAGAGATTTCTCCCGTAATTTATAGTCTGTGTTGGGTCTATGTTTTTCTATTCTACATTCCATAACATGACATTTATTTACACTAAATTCCATTTGCCAAGTGGTGCTCCATACACTTATTTTGTCCAGGTCTTCTTGAAGGGTATGCCAATCATCTAAGTTTCTTATCTAACCTATTATCTTAACATCATGAGCAAACATGTTCATATAGTGTAATTACCGGATGTAGTAATGTAGTAAGTAAGTGTAGTTACAGGATGAGAGCTATGTTCGTTGTGTCCCGTCTTCCAAGTACTTTTTGTCATATAATGCTTTTAAACTACTAACGATTTTGACCTCCACCATCTTCTCACTTAGCTTAATTGTTCTAACCGTCTACCACTCTGCAAAAGCAAACTTTCTAATGTTTTTTCGGCACCTTTGTTTCCTTATCTTGAATCTGTGTCCTCTTGTTCGTGATGTTACTGGTTTCAGGAATTCCTCTTTGTCAATTTAGTCGATTCCTGTTAGTATTTTGTATGTGGTGATCATATCACCTCTTTTTCTTCTATCTTCAAGTTTTGGCATGTTTAATGTCTGTAGTGTCTCCTCGTAACTCTTGTTATTCAGTTCCGGAAACCATTTTACCTAAATTTACTTGAGGGCACTAATGTAATTTACCTGAGGGCACTAGTGGCCGCGATGAGAACAGGAAGCCAGCGGCTTGTCAAAGGCCCCCCATTTGCCATGATGATCTTATCCAGCTGTATTTTAAAACCCAGCAGAGTTTTGGCGTTTATGGCTTAGGCGGGTAGACGGTTCCAAGGGTTTACAACCCTTTGGGTGAAAAAGCATCTCCTGTTTTCTGTCCTACATTGTGGCTTGTTGAACTTGAACCCGTTGCTCCTTGTTCGTGTTACATCTGACCTTTTGAAGAAATTGTCCTGATCGACATCCTCGAAATCGTTCAGTATTTTAAATGATTCGATGGGATCAACCGTTCCTGATACGAGAGATGACTAAGATCTGGGATGATTTTTATGGCCTGGTGTTGCACCTTCTCCAGAGGAGCTATGTCTTTCTGAAGATGAGGTCTCCATGCCTGGATGCAATAATCCAGAGGGTGGGGGGGTGGGGGGGAACGCA